TTCTATAGCAGTGAGGGCTGAGTGGGGTTTTGTTTCTGGAGCTAGTCATTATACTGTCTATTATGAGTCAACCAGTAGCTCCTCAAGAAAGAAGAGACAAGTAGAGACAGGAATGAGAGTATTCCCAGGTGGTACTACTGAAGGTCTAATAGGAGGATTAGATCCTAATCTGAACTACTTGTTCTCTATATCTACATCATTTAATGTTAATGGAATCATTTATGAAGGAAAGAAGACTCAACCAATACTACCAGGTATTGTTACACTTTATGTAGTGTACCTGTATTTTAATATAAGGTATTATTTAAACTCTTACTATCATTGTTTTAGCATCATCAACAACATGTAAGTCAATTCATGAGTTTACAGTATATCATTAATCAGTTTATGTTTATAGTTTCTTATTCCGTTGACACTACTGCTATGCCAACTGTAGTGAATAGTGGAGAAAACATTTGGTGGATAATTGGTGCAGCGGTATTAGTATCACTATTGGCTATACTAATAATTGTGATATTAATAGTAATGATGTACATAAAAAGAACTAATAATAATACAAAGAGGTAGAATACCCATTTGTTACAAATATTTTTGAAATTTGTGGATCATAGACAATCAGATAATGACATTGTTATGGAGTACAGTCCAGCTTATGCTACAACTGAATTGAAAACAAAGTTAGTTACACTATTGACTAGTACATTATGTCTACACACACATACAGTACTACTGACGATATACTAATGAAAGATAGTCCAGCATACAATGCAGTACAGCAAACACAGTCAGTTATCATTATTATTATCATTATCATATAAAGTTATTATTAATAGATCAACTGTTGATCTAGTGTGTGATGATGATGAATATGAGACTCCTCTTCCACCACCTTCTACTTAATATGAAATACCAACTGTTTAATAATCTTTAGTTACTGCATTAATTGATGTGCAGTGCAACATTAATTTGTGAAATGCCTTTGTCATAGTTTTATGTTAAATATAAATTTTTAAGTAGCAAGAGGTTGCACAGCAGCTAATGTATGTGGCCCAAATTTACTAGTATAAAAAAAATTTATACTTCATCATTGAATATACTGTCAAATTTGACAATAATTAAAATTTTAAGTTGTGTGTGTGTCTGTCTGCTATTATTATATTTTCAATGTACAAGTAAGTCTTTGCTAGTATCAGATCCTTTTCCCTTACCTCCTGCACTCCCTTGTAACAGAGCTGCCCTTGATCCAAACTGGAGTGCTCTTTTAGGAAGAGAAGCAGCACAAGTGTAGCCAAGCATTAGTGCAGTCTCTCTTAGGAGCCTCTTCTCACCCTCTCCTCTTGGTAATTCTAAATCAGCCTGAAAATAGAATAAATAAAATAATGATAAACTCATCAATACAATACATGTATAGAATTTCAGCCTAAAATTCTATTATTAGACACTTCAGTGATAGTGTGTAATGTTGGGTGGCATACTTTATCATGCATTGGTAGGTGATTTAAGAAATCAATCACTTTTTCATCAAGATAGGGAAAGCGTGCCTCTCTGTGGTGATCTCCAATGCATCTATAGGAGAAACAAAAAGAATATAACATAGTGTTTATGAATTACTAGGCCAATTATAGGCAAGGCATAGGTTTGGTTATAGTGAATTTGGCTCCAAAATCACTTTATGACATTTTCTGATACAATTTGATGTCTTTGTGTTATGAAGAAAGTTTGAGCCAATTCCGACTTAAATTGTTAAAGTTATAGCCATTTTTTTAAATTGGCCATTTTCTGGAAGAACCCCTGTACTATTATAGCCCATGGTTTTTTTCAAAAAATGGCTCCAAAATCACCCCAAATTTTTATTACATTTTCTGATACAAATTAATGTCCTTATGCTGTGTAGCAAGTTTGAGCTGATTCAGACTTAAATTTTTCAAGTTATGGCCATTTTTAAAAATTGGCCAATTTCTGAAAAAATCCCTGTACTATAGCCCATGGTTTTTTTTGAAAAATGGCTCCAAAATGACCCCAAATTTTTATTACATTTTCTGATACATATTGATGTACTTATGCTATGTAGAAAGTTTGAACTGATTTTGACTTAAATTTTTCAAGTTATGGCCATTTTTAAAAATCGACCAAAATCTAAAAAATCCCTGTAGATCTACTATAACCCATGATTTTTTCTGAAAAATGGCTGTGAAATCACCCCCAATTTTTATTACATTTTCTGATACATATTGATGTACTTATGCAGTGTAGAAAGTTTGAGTTGATTCCGACTTCAATTTTTCAAGTTACGGCCATTTTTAAAAATTGGCCATTTTCTGAAAAAATCCCTGTACTATTATTATTATTATTAATAAACTTTACAATACACAGAAAATGTATTGAAGGATAACACAGCAACTAGGCTGGCTACCTGGTACAAAAAGAAAGAAAAGAGAAAAGAAAATAAATGACACAAATCAATAACAAGATACTAATTTAATTATATAAGGGACAAAAACTAGTTACAATTAAGACATGGACAACAAAAATGAAAAGAACAAACAGATAAAGGATCAAACTTATCAACAAAATAATCAGCAAAAAACCTATTTAATTTAATTTTAGCAAGATTATAAGAAATATTTAACAAATTAGAATTAATACATGTAGGTAAGGAATTCCATAGTCTGGGTAAACGATTAAAATAAAAATGCCTAGAGGTATTATCTTTAGTTAGTACATGTAGAAGACAGGTCGACCTGTATTGATTAGCAGAGAAAGTGACAAAATTTTTAATATCAAAGGCTGGCGAGGGGGAGGAAAGAGACTTCAGAAAAAATAATATGTCGTTGACCTCATAAACCATCATCAATGGTAACAGATGGAGGGATACAAGTCTGGATCTGTAGTGCTCTTAGTTTTAGGAAGTACTTTTGTATCATAACACATTCCTTTATTTACACACTATCTGTATGATGCATCAATGCTGCAGTAATGGTCACAAGACAGTTTATGTTTTGACATAAGAACAAATAACTATTATCAAATTGAATGTAGAGGTTTTGTAAATTAAGCATATACTGGCATTGCTTTCTTAA